TATAGTTAATATTAAAATTTATCGTATGTTTCCACAATTTAGAAGCTTCTCGATGAATCAGTTATTTTAAGCACACATATTTAATCCCCATATTTTAAAAGGATCTGTATCAGGTTCTTCCGATTTTTGTTTAGATAATTACTTTATTGACACATGTTTATAGTACTTTAGGTTAACTTTTTGAATAGAATCTGATCATCACTCACTTCACTTCACTCAATATTTTATTCCAAAAATATATTGTGGTTCACATCTGTATTCATATTTCTCTTAGACTATCCAATTGCTCCAAATACTCCCAAAAGGACAATTACTAAGATGTATGTACAGCATTGATGCATCCCGATTTCTGCTAAAAATAATTCCGTATACGATGAGTATTTAAATAGTGAAGGGAAAATTCATTTAGAGTATGGTTATTTATATGAATGTTTGCAATTTTACTTTAAATATTGTAAAATATGAAAAATATCTGCTATCTTATCTCTCCCAAATAAATGCATCGTTATCCTAAAAAAGTTAATATTCAAAAAAATTATTAACATTATTTCAATGATTCAAATTGCTTGTGATTCAGAGCTTACCACTCCAAGACTCTACTAAGGAAGCATTTTATTCCTATTCTATAAAAAAAAAATTTTTTTTTTGAATATACAGTAAGACAGTTATGAAATATTCCTGATAAATTGTCATCCACACATGCATAACTTTCGCAATGTGCATGGATTAAATTTTTTGAAACCAACACATTCGAAAAAATCGATTTCAGCTCGTGATACACTGTTCTACTTTAATCTGAATTCCGGGCACATTAAAATTTGATGTAGTTGCTTAAATGTCATAATGTTAACGGGAAAATCATTGGTCTTAATTATTTCTCATTATCATACTTCATCATGTTTGATGGCCAATGTAAGAGATGCAGGGTTATGTTGCATTTCATCAACAGGCGTTCACATTTACCTAAACAGCATATTTTTCATTTAAGCTAATGATATATATGGAATTGCTCTTTGTGTATTGCATATTCGTATAAAAAAAATCTTTATGTAATATCATATTAACTTTCAGTATGAAATATTCTGAATACTCTGAAATGTCTCAGAGAGCATTTCATCAACATACTGATCACTTTTTTTTATTGGAGTCTTACCTAGCGAATGCATATTTCTATTTTAAACTACTCGTTATTGTTAAATTTGAAAATAAAATTGTATTATATAACGTTTTCTTCAAGTATATAATTGTTTAATTTAAGAACTGACAGTCTCATTTTTACTGCCCCACGGATACTTTAACAAAATATAGTATCCATTTATGTTTTAACCTTGGCGAACAAGAAACTTTGGCCAAGGTTTAAACGTAACTAAATTACACACATAAAAAGATAAATATATTTTTTTAGGAAAATAATTTCTTAACAATTAACATTTCGTTCTTAACTCTGTTATTATGTACGAAATAACTTCTTTGTTTATCGTCGAATTTGACAAGAAGTGATAGTAAAAATATATTAAAAAATCACGGAAACATATTGCAATTTATTAAGAAATGGCCGCTGGAATATATATTTCCTTACCCCTATAATAATATCTCATAAGTAAAAAATAGTATATTAATGGACTTAGATGTATATGCATGATTCTGAAAACAATTTATAATTAGGTTCCATATGGAACAAAAGTTTATTACTTACAAAGTAAAGAATTCGGGCTGTGAGATAAGAATGAACAAATGATAAGTAAACTCTAAGCTATCCTATCGCTGCCAAATATAGCAAGTAGTACTTCAGAAAATGCCTCAACTAATCAGAAAATATGGTATGCTTCACCACTTCTGTGAAGAGATCAGAATTCAATACCCATACGTCACCGAACAATATAAATCTTGTCTGAGCTAGATCCTAGCTCTCCCACGTTTTGTAATCAGTTTCCATAAACGTCAATAGACACTCTTGAATTCAACTTTTAATTTGAAAATGCAGTAAGTTATTATCATCATTATTATATCAAATAATAGAACGAAGTATTCAAATCGGCAAAAATTTTAATTACATGTTTCTTAGATTTAAAATAATCAATTTGTAATTTAAAAACAAATATATAATTGATAACATAATGTAAATATGTAGTTATTCATTTTCGAACAGATAATAAAATTAACTCAAATATTTTTTTCATAAGGTTAATTATTTTAATTACGTTAAAGTTAATATATTTTAATATAATAATTAAATTATTTTAGTTGATAAAATTAAAAGTTTAAAGGACTAACAAATTAATTAATATATTTATTTTAATAAAAACATGATTGAATAAACACTGTCGAAACATTGCAATGCATTATTATTATTTTTTTTTTAAATTAGAAAATTTTTTTTCATAAAAAAATAAATTTATATTTCTTAAATATCTATCTTAATACGTGTTGGAGCTTTTCCTTTGTTATTTGAAGGCTAAGATCAATGACATTTATTTGTCTATAGCTCAATATTTTTAAACAAAACCAAATTCCACTAAAGATTATTTCACGCTCTTTCTTTAATGATTACTTACATTTGATTGATTATATCAATTCAACATAGTCAATATCATCAGTTGAGGACATTTGACACCACTGATTTAGTAGTTTGAGAAATACCAGAAACCAAACTTGCTTATTTTTTCTATATAACTCCTATTCTAACTTGCCAAAAAATGTTTTCATAAACATAAATTATTCAAAATAAGCACCAATTGCATAAAAAAAAAACTTCACTTATGTACTGAAGTGCAGGCATGTGGGAGAAAATTGTTTTATTTAGGCAAATTTTGACAATCTTGAGTTTTTCGCTAGCATTTGTATCATATTAAGTGCTGGCTAATACTTAGTTCAGTAGTTATTGTTATATAATTAATATTTTTCTTAAAAAAAGAAACTTCTGAAAGAGTTTTTTTTTTGCTTAATTTCTTTAATTTTATAGCCGTGATTGAACAGCCGATAACATTTTTGAGTGTACGTCATTGATGTTCAATTTCATAACCTTGTAATCTTGAGCCCAACCCACAAGGCAAAGGAACTCCTTTATCAAGATTGGGGCAAATTAGCCTCCGTGGAGGACTTTTTGAAGGAACGTACCTGCATTTGCGTTACATGAAGAGGAAACCTCCGAAAACCTATCCCAAAACACCAAAAGCCTAGAAACCTTCCACGGTAGCTTGACGAAAAGGGGATTCTAATCCATTGTCCGTCTGCCGCTGAAGATATTTTGCTGCGTGTTCAGTGAAAGCTAGGATTAGAATTGCTGCCACCGCGGTTCTGCTTAATTTATGAACAACATGGCATCAAGAGGTGCAACAAATATACAAATATTAACAATAAAAATAGCGGAGTTATTTTTGATTTTATAACTGTGTCGGCATTTCTGTCTTATGCATAATTACGTAATGCTTATTAATTTAGATTTATTGAATATTTACATTTCGCTTTCCTACTAAGAACAGGTATAAAACAAGTTCTATTGTTCAAATCTTCTTAAGCGGAAAATTTTGTAATTTAGCTGTAATAAGCAACACTGTGTAACATATTACCGTTTTCTCACTCATACAGGTTTGTAAATGAAATATTTTTAAACAAGTGAATACAACCTCTTTGTAGAAATTTGAATGATATAGAGTTAGTGGTAAAAGGAGTTAGTTGGTCGTCGTTAATCCCAAAAACATGGAAACATAATTTTGCGTTTCTCATCGCCACGGGTAAATTAAAGGCTAAATTGAAGCAATAAGTCTCATAAATTGGATTTGTTGTTTCTATTGACAGTTTCGATCGTTTAAATGGAGAACTCTTCAGTGACTTTTATTTGTATGTGGGCAGTTCTCAAGCAACGCGACACAGATTTAAAATTTAGGCTCAGAAAGCAATTAAGTTCATTTTTAATTATTTAACCCGGTAGGACGCGTAGGGGTCCATATGGACCCCAGATGATTTTGTTTATACAATTTCTTTTCTTCTATTGACCTTGAAATTTCTTTCTTTTCAGTAGTCTAATTTTATACACCCTATATCATGCTATTCAGGTATTCCAAAGGGTCATTATTTTTTCTTTGACAAAGATGTTATCAAGTTAGGGGTGTGACTGGACCCCACGCGCCTATTCGTGTTAGTCAAAAATATACATTTAAACATTGCTGCTTTTTGTGTTTTGAGTTTTTTCTTAGCTGCAACATGGTGACTCTGTACGAAAAGGAAATGGAGAGGCTGTGAAAGCTTTTGGGAGAGGTTGAGAGTGAGGAAGACATTTTTCCTGAAGAGGAAGCGGAATGTAATTCTGATCTCGAAATTATGAGTGATCAAGACTCACAATCAGAATTTGAAGAAGAATCCACGCAAGAAGCTAACAACGATAATTTTATAGGAAAATATAAATGAACATAGTGGAAAAAAGAAAAAATCATCACCTAAAGACTGCCGAAAGAGATGCCTGGATGCATGCAACAACGAAAAAGACTAAACTGAACCTACTTCAAAACAGAAAGCTCTGAAATCTAATGAACATTGCTACACTTGCCCACGTAATAAGGACAAAAAATGATCAACTGCATGCGTAACATATAAAAAAATTTTGTACAAAGAAAACAAACTTAGTATATGTCGAAACTTCATGAATAAAGAATAGATAAGAGAAGGAAGACAGTATAGAGTGTTACGTATAATAAATATGCTATTTTCTTGGATTTGTTCATGTTGCTTAATAATGATTGTTAATTCATTAAACATGCATAAACTTTAATAAAGACAATTTCTAGGTTATACATGAATAAGAAGTTACATAGGTGCACGGCCCCAGGCAACGCGCGTGCGTCGATCGTGCAGTTCAGAGAGAGAGTGTGGCGTCGTGAGTCACCTCTCTTACGGTTAACTCAAAGTTCGAAGGTGAAGAAGTGGTTCCGGTCTGCGCCATCTTACGCTGAACACAGAGCCATGGTTAAGCTCTGCCGCAGTACCCCCCTCCTAGCGGAGCGCTAGGAAAAACGGACTGGGGTCCTAACTCTTCTACCAGACCTGCATGTTTTGGTCGGTGGCTGGTTTTCAATGTCCGCTGCCGGGGTATTTGACTGAGGGGGCTGGTGCTCAATGTCCGCTGCCGGGGTATTTGACTGAGGTGGCTCCCCTGACAACAAAAAGGCTGGTTTGAGTCTGTCTATGGAAACAACCGTTTCCTTGTTCTCTTTCAGTATCCTGAAGACTTTCTCTGTTTTACTGAGAACCAGATAGGGTCCGTCGTAGATTGGGCGAAGTGATGCTCGGACAGCATCATATCTCAAGAAGACGTGGCTGCAAGTAGACAAGTCTTGAGGAATGAAAGTCTGACCTGTCTGTAGTCTTGTTTGTGTCGGGCGCAGGCTGCGCGTGTATTCTTTCAGTCTTTTGGCGAACGAAGACTCGTCCACGGGGTCATCAGAAGCTGTAAAGAATTCTCCTCGCAGTCGTACCGTTTTGCCGTATACCAACTCACAAGGAGTTGCTTTTAAGTCCGGTCTAAATGTTACTCGAAGACCGAGTAGTATAGTGGGAAGTTTCTCCACCCAACGTTCCGTCAAGTGACATTTCATAGCAGTTTTCAGTCGGCGATGCCAGTGTAGTTACGCCACAATACTCCCCCACCAGAATTTTATCAGGGATAGAATTCGATGTATGGATCTCACTAGTTGCTGTACTTGTGAAAGACCGGGCCACCGGTTTTTTTTGTTTGAGTGCTGAAAGTGAGAGGTGTATTAATTTCACGGTCGCGTTCGCTCCTCTGTTGCCTTTAGCAGTCGAGTGTATTAATGTGTATGATTGAAACTGAGCAGCAACAGCGTGAGTAGGTGGATTATGTCGCAGTCACAAGTAGCAAGTCAACTGTTCAATGTGATATATCCATCAAAGAAGGCGTTACTAGATCGAAGTGAGCATTACTGCGTGCTTAAATCACGTCCGGAGGTCACCAATGTTCATGTTGCTTAATAATGATGGTTAATTCATTAAACAAACATAAACTTTAATAAAGACAATTTCTAGGTCATACATGAATAAGAAGTTACATAGGTGCACGGCCCTAGGCAACGCGCGTGCGTCTATCGTGCAGTTCAGATAGAGAGTGTGGCGTCGTGAGTCACCTCTCTTACGGTTAACTCAAAGTTCGAAGTTGAAGTAGTGGTCCCTGTCTGCGGCGCGCGTAGCGCCATCTTACGCTGAACACAGAGCCATGGTTAAGCTCTGCCGCAGATTATTGTGAGTATTTTAAAGATTTCGTGTGTTACTAATTTTTGAAAAACTTAAATTTTATTATTATAATCATTTTGTTTTCAAATATTACAGTGAAAAAAGCTTTAACCATAATTTAGGCTAGTAGGGTCCATAAGGACCCCACGCGCACTTTTGTGTACGTAAGGGAGGCACGCGTCCTGACGGGTTAATTCACATTAAAACATTTTGGGTAAATTTGCGATTCTATCCAGTCCCAAGAATTAACATAAGTTATTTACAAAGTTTTAAATAAGCATCTAAAATATTTTTTTTAATCCAATTTTGAACTTTTATGATGTTAATCGAGCCAATGAAATGCAAATTTTTAATTGGGCTATACATCTATACATAATAATAAAAGTGGCTGTGTGTGTGTGTGTGTGTGTGTGTCTGTAATCACAATATATCGCCCCAGAAGCCTCGCCCAGGCACGAAACTCGGCACATAATTGTGTTTTGACATAATGAAGAAGTATTTTTTTTCTTTTTTAAAAATTTGGATTAGTTATTTAGTTATCAGTCATTTTGTAAGTCTATGCTTTTCGTCTGCTTTTTCGTCTTCAAAGAGCCATATTCAAAAAACTATTAAAAAATGCATATACTTTTCCCCACTCTTATAAATGTATGCTAATGCGAACCTCACAATTGAAATATTAATTTTCGACAACTTAAACCAATAATATACGAAGGAATTAATAATTTAATTGTAAAGTTCGCATTAGTTTACATTTATTAAAGTGGAGAAAAGTTTAACTTTTGTATTAAAAATGTGGCAACATATTCGATACGTAAATAGAACGCTTCGCTTTGATATATTTGTCGCTGTTCATAATTGTTATAATAAGTTTTTCTTCTTCTTTCCACGCTCTTTTTTTTTTTTCTTAAGCGAAGACGATAATTTTTATAGCGATATTGTAGTACTTTGTACAACTAAAAATTCTTTTCACAACACTTTAAAAATATTTACTTTATTTTCTTTATATATACAGAGAACAGTCGGCAAAGAATTCGATTAGGTTGAAAAACATTTCGCTAAAAAGGAACGAATTCCAAAAGAAAAAATAAACAACTTAAAGAATAAAAATGCTGATGCCAGCCAATTTTTTGAAAGTTAACTTAGAAATAACAAACCAAACGATGTTAAATAACAAACCAAACGATGTTAACAAAATGACGTAGAAAGCGCAACTAGATCAAAATTATACAAGCACAACTAGATCAAATTATAATACCTGAGTGCTTGACGTAACAGATATAGAAATAGAATTTGATACCATAAAAAATTATATAGAAATAGAAATTGATACCATAAAAAATTTATTCGTTTTCGTGTTCTTTTCATGTATTTAGCATTTTAGTTTTTTTTTTCTTAAGCGTTGTAGCTATATAATTTCAAACATCCTCAAGAGCTATAACACATCTGCAGCAGAACTGGATATGAAGACAAAATTGCAGGACAGGAACACTTTAATTGTCCACTAATCTTCAGATTTCCTGCTACGTTTTAAAAAACTTTATTTGTGAAAACCTTCAGCGTGGCGGACAGCTGGCCGCCTTAGGCGGCTAGTTTATAAATAAAAATTAGAATATAAAGTTTAAAAAAAAAACAGTTATTTGATAATATAATGAAAATTAGTAGCAATAGCTAAGTTATATTTTAGTGTGTAGAAAAGCTTGAGAAAAAGCAATTGTTTCAATGCGTAATCGAAAATGTATAATTTGAAATAGCGGTAATATTTTAAAACACTGACCAATAAAACATGGTCAAAACCAGAATTAAAGTAACATTTTATAACATAAGTACTTAACAACATTAAGGCTTAACAACAGCAACATTAAAGTAACGATAAAGTATCAGTCATTTAGTAAACAATAAAATTTGTTTCTCATTCATTAATTTTTTTTTTCTTTTGTAAACAGTAAGTTAAATCTATTAACTTTTAAACCATTTGTGCCCAGCGTCCTTTTAAAATGACTTTTTCAGAATAAAAAAATTTTGTATCACAAGTGGTTCATTGATAGGATTAATTTTGCCGAACCATAGCTACTCTGAATATATTAAATACTATTATAATCCGATCTGAATTAAGACACATTACTTTTTGTAGTTAAAGTGGTAGGAAGCGAAAATAAATTCCACTTGGTATAAGCAAATACATACTACCACTTGTTTCAGTTAGTAGTTTTTCATAAATAGACCATTTTTTTCGCCTGGGCATAAACAGGTTAAAACTATAAAAAATATGCATTTGCTAATGTACAAATGCCTGGACAGGGCAAACCTATATCGTTTGCTGAATTCTTATGCATCTGGTCTATCCAAGCATCCTAAAAAGGTTGTTGTTGTTGTTCATTTACGTCGCACTAGAGCTGTACAATGGGCTATTGGCGACGGTCTGGGAAACATCCCTAACGGATGATCCGAAGACGTGCCATCGCAATGTTGATCCTGGATGGCACCTCCGATTCGGCATCCTTAAGTGGAAACGTAGAGGTGTGAGTTTCAAATCCCACCACAGTCGTGGATGCAACTATTCATTTTATTTGTTTATCGTTTTGCACGCATACGCAGGCTCATGTGTTCATTACAATGATAGCCTTTTATGCTCGTTTTAAGTCAAAATATAGATTGCACAAGATTGAGAAAGACATCACGATCATACACACTGGGAAGCAAAAGAATTTGAACCCACTGCCTCAAGTTACAATAGAAGCATCTTTGAAATGTCTTTCTCCAATTTCACCCAGCTGTTCTTCAATATGACTAGGACTTAAAACATATCGTACTTTTCGTAATGAGCACGCAAGCCCGCATATGCACGTGTAACAATAAATAAAGAAATAAATACTTTGGATAACAATGTTTTCTTTTCATTATTTTTTACATCAGTTTCGTCAGTCCTTTTGAGCAAAAAGTCACTTCGTAGGCAGCGTGTTTAAATCCATAATTACGCATAGCGAAAGTATACTGATATTTTATATTGTGCATTTACTGAAACAAGACTACAGCTTATCAATAGTGATTAACACGTTGAATGCCAAGCTAATATTACATGGTTTGCCCGTCTGGACAAACGGTAAATAACTACAAACTAAATTTGCAAGCATTAGACAGATTTTGCTAGATTTTTAAAAGGCTTAGAATTGACATATCGGTAAAGGTGGTGAATTATATTAGACTATAAATTGTTTAGAAATAGAGGTGGATAAAAATCTACTAAATTGAATTTATTAAACCAAGAATCATAATTAATGAACTACCACTTGAAATTATTTATTCGCCGTCCGGAGCAAGTTGGCATCTCTGTGTATATAACTAATATTGCATTAATTTCTTCAAACCATTTTAGCAACGATAATAATATTTTTTAAAAAATTACAGGCATTAAAAGTTTACTCAAATTAAGTGTTTCTAATACTTTTGGCTTCACCGGTCACCGGTGACTATCATGGCGCCGGTAGTATTTCCTACCGGTCGACGGTGACAATTTGTTTAAAGCTTGCTTCCGTGGAGAAAAAACCTACAATTTCAACGAATCTTTCTTTAGGTAATTCCGAACCTAATTTTTTCGAATGGACTCTGCGAATTTCGAAATTTTCTACAATAGTTCGAATTTTGGCCTATGTTAAACGATTTATCTTCAATGCTAAATCAGTAGTAAATAAACAGAATGAATCCTTCTTGAATGGAAACTTAAAAGAGGAAGAGCTCACCAAATCTGAGCTCGATATACTCCTTTTCATACAAAATGACTCATTTGGAAAAAATCGTCGACTGATACCACCCAATTTCATCATTCACCACGCCTCTAGTGGTTTTCTAAGAGTTGAGACAAAACTTTTCTCGACTGGTGATGGTGATTTTTTCAGACATCCTATTCTGTTGCCAGACACGAATGAACTAGTTTTCAAACTCATCGAAGAGACTCATCGGACCTACAGCCATGTAGGTGTACAAACACTTGTCACAACCCTTCGTGAAAAGTACTGGATTTTGCGATAAAAAAACTGTTCGATCAGTTGTTTCCAAATGTGTAATTTGCCAAAGATTTAAATCCAAATCTGCTACGACGATGTTCGCTCTTCTTCCAGGAGAACGTGTGCGAATATCAGCAGTGTTCGAAACAACTGAAGTTGATTTAGCTGGTCCTTTGGTTCTGCGAAATTGTGACAAAGTTTGGATTGCAATCTTCACGTGTGCCGTGCACCGTGCAGTACATTTCGAACTTGTTTCGGACATCTCCACACAAAGTTTTCCTCTCGCATTGAGACGATTCCTTTCACGTCAGGGTCGAGTAAAATCAATCTATTCAGATAATGGCACA